TAGCAAACATATTTGATGTCTGGTTCCATTTAGCAGTTCACAACGCGACTGTGGTGAGTTTGTCGCATTGTAAAAGTCGCGCCAGTGGAATCTATGATATTATGAGTTTTTATTCGATTTTCACGTGTTTTTTAGATATTCTACCGTAAAGCAATTAGGAAAAGTTACCTTTTTAAATTTGGTATTTAACTCGGTATAACCACTTTGCAAAGCTTACTAACATTATAAATGCGAAAGTTACGATGGATGTTTGTTAGTTTGTCACCTAAACGGCTGATCGGATCTCGATGTAGACCAAAGTCTGTAAGGATAAATGGGACAAAGTCGCGGGCGAAAGTTATTCTATTAAATTTAACTTCGCTTCGAATAACATGGCGTGATGAACGATCGTTAATAGGTAACCTAAGGTTGTGCAATGGCCAAAGACTAATTAAGTATTTACCATAAACAATCGTAATTGATTTTTTTGTTCTGTAGCAGTTTAAAAAGTAAATATTATTTGCACTTTATAGTAATACTAGCTGTTCCCATGCGACTTCATCCGCATAGAATTATTAATATATCATTTTATTGTTTACATGTGTCAAATAATCAATTGCAAATGTCAAAATACCAATTACATTACTATGACAATTTTGCTTTCTTGATGTTGGCAGCAACTTATGGTCTCTTTCCCACATTAGGGTTTGCATCTAAAATATTTACCCCCTAAGTTTATGGCGTGAAAATATATAGCCTAAAGCGTGACGTAAGTGTCGGGCTTTTTATTAAAAAAAAATAATTATTCAAAAACATGCTGTAATTGCAGACATCTTAGGCTATAAAAAGTGTATGTTTACGCTTTATTATAATAATATAGATAAATACAAGATTTAATTTATACTCATGATATCAATTTTCTACACATTATTCTCGACTGTAGAAAATTTTAATATCTTTGTATGGCTAGTTATGGGTCGATGCACTCCATTAAAATACTTTTACGCACTTTTCCCTCAACTTATTCGCAGCTCGCCGTATTTGATAAAGTGCAAAAAACAACGATAAAAAAGTTAACGGAAATGTAATTAAGCCGCTAGGGGGAGCGACGAGCGTTTTGCAAGTCAATGCTGAAAGCTAGCCCTAGTCTAGATGACAGTGATAATTTTTTCAAACACTGCGGTATGCATTTTAATTGAACCATGTTTGTACTAGCTTTCACCTGCGAATCCGTCCGCGTGGAATTATAAAAAAAAACAAAAGTGAGTTGCCTATATGTTCTTCAAGACTATCCTCTACATCTATACTAAATTTCATAGAGATCAGTTTATAACATTAGTAAGACTAATATTGAAAAGCGTCTAATTCTATTGTAGTTTTATCCGTGCTACTTGCCCAGTCTAATTATAACGGATGGTGAAAGAGACGAGCTTGTACGGGGAGGAACGCGCGAATAAAATAAATAAGAAGAAAACCAAAACTATCAACTTTTAATAAAAATATACAAATTAAAAAGCATATGTACAATTCAGCCTAGCGTTGTGACATCTTATTGAAGACTGCTTCAATTATATTCAAAAATAATTAATAAAAAAATATATATTCTTATTTTAAAAAAGGATTAAAAATAAAAACACAAAAAGGTTTATTGCATCGCCAACAGATGGTATATAAGATCGTTATTACCTTTAAGAATATTAAGGATTAAATGTTTTCGTGTCTATAATATTAAAGTATTATAAGTACAAATTTAATATTGTTACTGTTAAAAATATAAGGAAGTAATCTTAAAACTCAAAAGTATGTCGTTATGAAAATTGCAAAGATTTTTTTTTCACATTGTAAAAATGAATACATTTTTACGACAAATAATAGCGCAAATACAAATTAATAATTTTTTCCAATTCTCAAGTTAATAAAAAAGTTCTTTCCTCTAAAATATATATTTGTATTAATATTTTTTTAAACTACTAAAAACCATTCGCACAAATAGTTCACAATCAGGAAACTGCATAATTTGTGATTTGATTTTTGCCTTTTTATCTTGTTTTTCATTTGATAAATAATTTATCAATTTTAAGGCAAAAACTTTATTTTATACAGGAAATTCAGCCACTACTTAAAAAAAAGAATTCTACAAATATTTTTGCCACAAATTGAAACACAAAAATAACAATATTCGTGATAACAATGTATGTACTTTCTGCGTCAAGAAAATTTGAATCTTAAGCTTTCATAAGAGTAAACATCTAAATAAATAAAACGGAAAGTTGTTTTAGGTATAGGCTATACGGAGCGAGTGTTACCGACGCTTAACCGACTTTTAACCGTCCCGCGGGTCAATTTAATCCCGGAAGCGCCTAGTTAGGGGCGAGTGACGTCACAAGGTAACTGGCACGGCAAGGTATAATGCTGATGGAAAGTGGAAAACAAAAAAAAATCAAATTAATTAGAAAAATATTTTAAAAGGTTACAAAGAAAACATAGACTTCTCACTATTTTTTAAATACGCGCGCATAAAGTCGCTGGCAAAACCTGCTTTCATATTAAAAATATGAATTTTTTCAATACATTTTAATTACCATTTGTATGATCATGTCCATTTTAAAAATGTAAATTTAAAAAAGAAAAAGCCGTGACCCCAATTAAAAAATATTGCCAATTATAATAACATGTAAAATTGAAAATTTAAACGCATGTGCCGTTCTTGGTTATTGCAAAAACATCTATAATCGTTTTATTGACAATGATTGTTGTTCAGGAAGTGTAATAAATATAATTATATCTTAATTGCGAACCACAATGTTTCTTCTTCAATTATTGTCTTAATAAATATGCATTAAATAATCATATGAAATAAAAATAACTATATATGTAAACGAAAAACGTGTTTCCTTTAAGAAGCAAATTACAATAAAGTACCAAAGAGTCGTGTTACTCTGTCATAGTTAATGTTAATTCTATAAAGTCATCATCCACTTGCCCTTATCCCTTACGGAGGGTCGGCGCAGTATTTGCTGCTCTTTCATACATCTCTATCAGCCGTCATATCTGATTCCACTCCTTTCTTAAGCGTATCCTCTTTCACACAATCCATCCCTACTTTTTTCGATAGAAAGTATGGATGGATTGTCTATGTCTAGATTCTAAAAGGTATGGAACGGAAAATAGTCGTAATTAAAGTAATTTAATTAAAAAAAGTTCAGATATAGAGAATTTCAAGTTCCGAAAACTGAAATGACTCCATAAACACTAATATATTTTTTTGAATTTTTTGAAAATAAATACAACTTTTGATCATCCGCCTCGATAAGAATTCAATTTTAGCTAAAGGAGTTAACCCACCCTATCTATACTAGTGTTAGGAAAGATTTATACATATTACATATCATATAAATATTATAAATGCAAAAGTTTAAATGGATGGATGGATGTTTGTTCGCGTTTGTACCCTAAACGGCTGAACGGATCTCCATGAAATTTGGCACAGGTTTAGAGCATAGTCTGGAAGAACACATAGGCTATTCATTTTTGTTTTTTTCAGTTTCATGCGGACGGGGTCGCGGGTGAAAGCTAGTATTTTTATATGTAGTGAAATAACTAACAAACTACTGTGGAAATTTAAAAAAATCTTGCACCATTAAAAAACTACGTAACAACTGAGATAACATAAACCATACTTATTACTGTTTTAACACAATTTATTTACAAAATCAGAATTTTAACTGAAATATTTGAATCAAAGAGCATTGTTTTTTAATAATTGCCCGCCACAAAAATTTTATTTCAATGTTTAAGTTATGGTAACTTAGACATCGTGTAATGTTAAGTCTATTATTAATGTTATAACACTTTAAGATTATTATGTTAATTATTACAGATAAATTTACTAACAGAAAACTTGTTTCCTTCACGGGATTTTCCTACTAATAATAATGAAATAAAAACTAAGTAATTAACGCCTAGTATTAATTCATTAATAAAATTATTAGTTTAAATTGCATACAAGGAAAATGTAGTATTAATCATTGTTTTTTAGTTTTTAATTTTTATACAAGAACTTTTATAAATAACCGGCCATCGTTTTGATGAAATGTTAAAAATGCAAAAGTTTGGATGGATCATCTATCCATTTACGTTACTTATTTCCAGAACTGCTCAAGGGATCTCCATAAAATTAATAATCTATACATACATTGCTTACTAAGTTTTTAATTTCGCGCAAAGTCGCGAGCAAGACCTTGTAGACTATAAAACTTCTTATTGGCATAGTGTGATTGTCTACTATAGGGACAGATATGAAACATATTCCTGTCTCACTCATACTGTCTAAAAAACAGACATTTTTCTTGAGAGTAAGAAGCACTTAAATATTAACATAATAACATTCCAAGTTAACCTGCAATTATATTGAGTGCTTAATAATGATTAATGGTAGAAGCGTTCAAATATCTCAATGTCATTCGAGATGTTAAGTTCATTAACCAACTAGTTTTCGCCTGCGACTCTGTCCGCGTGGAAATAAAAAAAACAAAAGTGAGTAGTCAATGTGTTCTTCCAAACTATTCTCTACATCTATACAATCATCGGAATCCATTTAGTCGCTTAGGCTACAAACTCTAACAAACATCCATCCATCTAAACTTTCTCGTTTATAATATTAGTATAATTTCAATGGAGATTAAAACAGTTCCATTACAATTTTTTATGCTGCTATAATTAATGCAAAATTATCTAAATATAAACTTAATTAAATCATGGTTAATGTAGTTATTTGCACAAAAAGTATTTTTTTTTAATGACGTATCTAATTACTTATTGTATGCAGCAAAAAATTGTTTTTAAAATTGTGGAATAAAGCAAATTTTTTATAATAATTTATTATTTTAAACTAAGCTATACAATTCTGAATGTAAACTTAGGTACAATGTTGGCAATATTTGGTGACAGTATTAAAAATGTAGGTCTATTTACAGGAATAATAATAAAACTATTATAATCAAATACGTTTAAAAACTTACCTTCGTTAGAATTTGCATTGCCGTCGGCACTTCGATCGGAATCCTCGGCGCCGACTAAATTCCGTATACTGAATGAGTTGGTTTTTCTCTGCGGGGGCGCTGTGTCTCCTATCATCCCTGTCACCTCACATCCTTGCGAACCATTCACTGTGTCACGGCACACCTCCGTACCGTTGCATACAACCGTCTGTCCAATCCCATCTTCCCCACGACGCGTTGTCAAGTCCATTTTTAAATAATCTACGATTTATTTCAACAGTCTGTCTATTTAAACGGGACATTTTTAATAATCATCTGGTTGATTTATAAACATTTTGTATTAAGTCACTTTACCATCGATTCCTAATATTCCAATTGGCAATTAATTAAAAAAAAAATACTTTTATTAAAAGTCACACTGCAGTTTTTATACAGAAGCCACACACGATAATCAATAATTTAGATAATCAGTATTTAAAAAAAATTTAATACACTGTCTTTTTATCACAAACAGTTCCTTTAGTTGTAATCGTGCGTACACGTTGATTCGCGTTGTAACGAACGCGCGCTGGCCCCGCGGTGGCAAACGCGACTGGTCCTCTTTCCTCCCTCACACCTCCGGCATCCGGCCCTCCCTACGCCTAGAGAGGCGGAGCGAACGCCCCTCGCACTCACTTCGATACACCACAAACCGCGCGCGACTTTTTACTTGTCAATTACTCGTTACCGGAGATTTTTTTCAACCATCAATCTACACTAATAAGTTGTAATTACGTTTATCGATACACGATTACTGCCTTTTTAGTTGTTCCTTGTACTTCGCCAAAGTCTTTACATAGAAAATTATAATTATTTAGTTGGTAATATAAAGAAGTCTGTCTTTATAAAGGATTATAATAGTTAAAACATTGCAAATGGATCTTTCTTACCACTACTTTCTTATCTCCAAAACTGCTTCGATCAAAGAACATGTAGGACATAGCCTGGAGGAAAAAAAGTTACACAAATGTCGTGGGGAAATCTATTCAACACTAGTTGGTGCCCGTGACTTCTTTCACGCAATATTAAAATAAAAAAGAAGCCTATAATATGCCCATCTGTCAGTTACATTCAGCATAAGCCTGGTCGAAATCGGCTCAGCCGTTTCGACGGTTTCCCGGAACAAACGCGGCTTGCAGACAGACGGACAAGAAAATTTTAAATGCAATTTTCGTTATAATAACGCAAATACATTTTTCCAAAATCTGGAATTTTTCTTTTGATATTATACACACTCCATATTTATTATATGTACAGAGGAAAGACATTCTAATTAAAGCTCGAATCTTTGTCGAATAAATCTATATTAGAATTTGAATTTAGTAGCATAATATCTTACTTTATAAAGCACATAACAAGTACTGTCTAACAAAGTATCTCATTGCATTACAAGATTTAGACAGTACAATTAGTGGTTTAAGTTCAGGAAACGTGAATTGTAGTTTATTGTCGATTTATCATAATTTAACTGAATAAATTGAGATACAATAACTACGTCCTTTATTATATTGGCAAACTCTATTACGATTTGCTTAACAGGGCTGTCTGTTTTAATGTTTTTGTAGAGTAAAAGGTTCCAATTTAAGTGAAAATTCACTAAATCGATGAAAAAACATATGTTTCGTCGACAAAAAGCTATTTCTAACAATTTGTTGCTATTTGCATTTTTTCTCTTTAAATATGAACTATTTTTTTTTGCCATTTTTGTCCAGGAACTCCGTACTTATTTGAACATTCTTGAATTCTCGTTGTGTTTAGCTAATTAGTGTTAATACAAAAGATAGGATAGTTTATAACTTGAAACATTACTTTAATAATAAATTGTGAATTAACTATAATTGTTATTAGGTTTCATAAATTTCCAACAGATGGCGGTGTCAACTCTTTTTTGACAGGCCGCTTCATTCCTACCTAAACGTAGCCGTAGCTAAAAACATTTACAATGTTTGTTTATACAAATCCTTAAAACAATTTGCTTCATGAATATGAATGATTTATCGCTAACTTAAGTTTCATACATTAGACTTAAACGCATCACATTTGTTAGAAGCGACAGAATTAATCATTGGTATGAATCAGAAAATTAAAAATAAAAAAACAACGTTTTAAAAACGATTTAAACTTTTATACTCCTTTTTCCTTTGTTTAAATTTTTATGATTATTTTAAAACTAGCTGTTCGCGTGCGGCTTCATCCGCATGAAATTATAAATTTATTTATTGCATTTATCAAATTCTCAATTGCAAATGTCAAAATACCAATTACCTTATTATGGCAATCTTGCTTCCTTGATGTTGGCAGCGACCTATAGTCTCTTTCCCACATTAGGGTTTTTATCCAAAATATTTACCTCCTAAGTTTAATGGTGTGAAAATATATAGCCTAAAGCGTGACGTAAGTTTAGGACTTCTTATTAAAAAAAGAATTATTCAAAAATATGATGTAATTGCTGAGATCTTAGGCAACAAAGAAGTGTGTGTGTGTATACGCTTTATTATAATAGTATAAGTTTTTTAAGAATTGCATATGTTTTTATTAAAACCACTTTAAAGGCCTTTTTGTCTTTGTTATTGCTGAATGTTTATATATTTAGTTTTCGGTTATAGCAACCCTAAATAAGTTAAAGGCACTTGATGTCGTTTCTATGTGTGTTTCTTACTAATAAATACTTGTTAAAGCCAATCCAAACGCATTCGCTTAAGGCTGCTTTAAAATTTATTGCATTTACGTTATTACAACTTCGTTCCTAATATTCTGTAATAATGCTCGTAAATTCTACAGATTTGGTTGTAATTAGTATTGAGATGAATTCTTAAAAATTACGTCGTGTTCATTAAATAATTGTTGACAGTTTTAATTTATGGTAAAATGTTTATATTAATTATTATAATAGTTTGAATTATATCAACATTTTTTAACATTTTTCAATCGTATTAGATTTTTATTTTTCAAATCAACTTTCAAAGTAACTCCAATCAACAATTATCAGAACATAGTCAAGTACATAAATCTCCGACCCATCTTCGTTTAAACTAATTTATGTAGTAGTAATGTTAGCGCTAAGTGTATTCCCTTCGTAATTATCAAATCAATAGAAAAGCGGCACATTTAATCATCATCAACCAATATTTGTAAAGCAATAGCCTGCGTGTACAGTCAGCTTCATTCGCGGTACACAAGTTACGGAAAAATTGCCTTGCATCTCAAATCAAGCTTAAACTCCGATATCACTTAAATAAAAAGGGTACAATCAAGATGTAATCTAATAAATAAAAAAAAAATCTTAACTTGAAATAAATAAATCCTAATCAGCGCTATGCTCATAGGAAAATAAGTTTCTATTAATGTTTTAATTAAATAAACAACTATCATTTGCTAAACTGTATAATTGGAGTACACTATAGTTGAAATATTTTCACACTCTTATCGTATCATGATGTATAAAATTATCGGCTAACGTTTAAGAAATGGAATACCGCGAGCGAAGGCGACTGTACCTTGCAGCGGCTTAACGCCGGCGGCCACAAAGCCTTCGTAGCAGCGGGGCGCCGGACTTCATTATACCGTCAGACCAACTCATTCTATTTGTATGGTAATACGCTCATTACAACAGACAAAAAGGGTAGAGGGTAAAGAATCTACCGATTTATGGTTTACCGCCTAAAAACTATAGCTGAGGAGTTAATGTTTGAATATCAATATGTTTTGTAGTTGATGACAATCAAAAGGGTTCAACAAAGTGATAGATTTTCATATCCAGTTATTATCTATGTTTACAAATTAAGGTACTCCTGACACCACTATCTATGTACTTTCATATAACTTAGAGCGCGCACATCTTTGACTAAACTGTCGCATGTTTAGTCGCGCTTTGATTCCTATAAGCTATGGAGGTGCGCACACTACTCGATTTTTAGTTGTGCAACTAAACAGTTGAATTGGCTGCGAAACAATCGACAATCGCATGCCAGCTGTGCGATAGTTTAGTCAAAGGTTTAACAGTAGTACACACAGAAGACAGGCGTGAAGTGGAAGCAATTCCGTGTTTCGTCTGATGAGTGTGGTGCCGGAGGCCTGATTTTAGTCCCTTTCTCTTTACCACCCCTTTCTTATAAGGAGAGCATGGGAAGGGGAAGTGGATTTGACGGTGGAGGAGATGTATAGGAAGGGGAAATGTACTCTTTATGTGCGTCTCCTCCTCCGTCGGATAAGGGTAGGCAACGCATCTGCAATTGCGGATGTTTACGGGCAGCGGTCTCTTCGCCGTTTTGGCGGATTCAGGTGGCCGCTTGCTCGTTTGTCACCTTATGATATAAAAAAAAGGTAAGCCGGCAATGGAATCAGTAGCTTATAAGTAGGGTGGTTGTAAATAGGTGTACCTTGAACCGCGTTCAGAATGCGCATTGTCATCAAATACATTTAGTTAGACAATTGCCGGCACAAAGAGGGGCAACTTTTTGCCGACAACCGTTGTTTGCTCACAGACTTCGGCGTGTATCTATTTAATCAATAAATAGATAAGTAGCCAACACTTTGTAAGCGATATGCCGACGGTTTAATGGTTTTAGAGATACTTTTATATCGATAAATGATGATTATTTACGGTCAATCTTTTAAATATTATAAATGCGAAATTTCTCTTAAATTCTTTTAAAATAGGTGTCTACCTAAATGGTAGTACGGATCTCGTTCAAATTTAGTATTGATGTAAAATCTTGAAGAACAAATAGGGTACTCACTTTAGTTATTCTTAATTACACGCGGACGGAGTAGCGGGCGAAAGCTAGTATAGACAAAAATTGGAAAAGGTTTATGTGTTATTTTGTAATTTCTAAACTTAGTATTGTTGTCTCTATCGGAATAAGGTAATTTGTCTTTCTTTTCTAACATCTTAGTTTCAAGCGCAACAAGCAGAGAGACGGCGATAGCAATTGTAGATACAATTTCCACTAACAAAGCAGTGACTGCAGATCGCTTCTCTTAGTGCAAAAGGAGTCTAACTAGCAACTCATCTAAAACACTTCTGATTTAAGATCTTCATGGTTAGTTCAGAATGTAGCTGAGCTAGGGAAAATTGAACTCCAATTAGTGAATAATATGGGCATATTTTTTCATTGTAAGTTCCTATTTGTAATACGGAACCGTCGCTACTCCTCCCGTCACATTTCACGGTGCGTGTCTGCTGCAAGTCACCGCGGCGCAATCAGCGCGTCTTTGTCTCTGGTGCCGACGGCGCCTGCCTTCTGCCTTACAGACGAACATAATTAGTAAACAGTCTTTAAATTTTACTTTAAAATTATATGATAATGCTTAAGACTTGGTACTGTAGAGTCAGTTAATAATTTTACAATATTTTAGAAAACAGAAATGAGTTTTACATTTGGTTAAGCCTTGTGCTGTGAGTTGAAGAACTAAATTCATTTTTTGTTGTTATTTTTATATGAAACTAGTAGCTTTCGCCTGTGACTTCCTCAGCATGGAAAAAAAACATAATTTCGTAGCCTATGTGTTTTGC